AACACGAACACACCTTTTGAGCTCGAAATATAAACGAGCCGAATGCGAGCGAGCGCATTTAGCTCGTTTACACCCCTACATTCGGCCGGTTACATCGGTCGACCGAGCTTAAACAGCTGACAATGGCGGTATTTCAGCAATAATGGTTGCAACCAGATAAAGGTGATTCAATGGCGGTGGTGATTATTCGATGCAATGGTGACCTATTGATGGTGGCCCGACTGTGGTGGAGCTCTAGAATTCTCAAGAGGATGGAGTTTCCTTCTGTTTTGCATGCAAGTCTAGGCCCCTTATGAACAAAGTGATGTTTTGTTTCAAGATTTTGTGAGTGATGTTATTCATAAATATTGTTTAAATTCAAACCACTTTATCAAACAATCCATAGTGAAAATTTCAATCATGACATGACATTTTATGAATGTTTGAGTGCCTCAATAAAGCTAAAATTAAGCAATCTTGAGCTCATTAGTGCATGTTCTGGTTCACCTAGACCCATAATAGATCACTTTTGATGTCATTTGATTCATGATGTCATTTGATTCATCTCACCAAGACATTTCATTTGATAATAAATTTGAGCGAATACAATTCTTAATTTGATTTTTAAAATCTTGTAGTCCCAAGGTACATCACCATTGATGCATAATCAAGAGAAATTTTTTGGGATATACCAATCATAAATAAACCAAACAACAATCTAATCAAAATGCATTCATTTAGCAACCAAATATTTACACAAGAGCCCAAATATTTGCAATCAATTAATTAAACAAATATAAACGAGTTCTCATCAAATCAAGCCAAATGTAGCCTAACAAACTCTGATTCATTTTATTTAACTCTAATTGATCGAATCCAATTTTCTAATTGGAACAATTCAAGCTCGCTCCAACTTCTCGATACAAAGTAGATAAGAGAAATCAGACGAAACAAGCGAAGCGCATTCATCATTTTTAATATCTGCTACTCCCTATTTTGAACTTTACAGAATTGAATTATTATTTATGCTAATTATTCTACTAATTAATTTAACATTCACCACCAAACTATTATAAGCAGATTCAAATTAAAAATACTCGAAACATCAATCTGGACTGATCCTAAAATAAAATTAAAAAAAAAAACCGAACCTCAAATAATTAAAAATAATGTGATGTTATTTTAAATTGTATCGCCAGCGATCTAAATAAAGAAAAAAGATAAGAAAATGAAACGGGAAGGTCGTGCGAAAGTGCGAATGCTAATTGCGACCATATTTATAAAATAATTAAACAATTGGGGCTTAAATATAATATTCATGTTGCGGGGATCATATCGCAAAATGAGAGCATTCCAAATCTTCTATTATTTTAAAGATACTCATGAGTTGTCTAATTAATTGTAAACTTATTAGCGGTTGAGAAGAATGCGTTTAATATGTGGATTTCATGCCATTAAAGTATTTACATTCTTTGTTCAGCCTGAACCTGAGATTTATGGGATTATTTAATATATTTTTTTTAATTTCGACTTTCATGTAAATATTTCATCTCATAAATGGCATTTTGCACTTTTTCTTAATTGAAAACTTATTAAGTAATTTATGAGGAATCTTTAATTAGCATTGTCAAAATTTGAACATTCCTCGTATTAATAGCTTGTTATTGCCAAATCAACCCTTCTTTCATCGGAATTTGTTAACTTGTTCCTACTATCGACAAATAGATCTCATTAATAAATGTTTTTACTATATATATATAAAAGAAAAGTAGTATAATTTCAAAGCTCATAGTCTAAGTCACTAAACAAAATAAATGACTATTTTCTGCTCTCCGGATATGAGGAAAATGACGTGGATTCGACCATGTCATTGTGCACATGGCGTGATCAAGCCCATGCCTTCGTCCGCACATAATATTTTCTCCTAAAACAAAACCCAAAAACTGTCCACATAGAATAGAAGAAGATCTGAACTTAGCAACGACCATAAAAATTTAACGATTAAATGACCTAAGTTAAACTTACAACGAACTACAGAAATAATCACCATGTCTAATAATATTAAAAGCCATAAGAAATTTTACACCCTATATTATTTGAACACGCGAGTAACAAATTGAAAAAAAACTTCACACCTAACTAAATTCACCTTTCCCTGTAGTCAAGAATGGTGAAGAATTCCCACGAGGATAATGGCCAGCATCCATTGCATCGCAAATAATTTCAGAAATGAACTCAATTCAACGAACACCACTTGCTATTTAGCTTTAATTTTTAATTATTCAACATATTACAAAAAACCAGATAATTCGTCGCAAGTGTCGCAATCAACTTTGCAAAAATATAGTGTCGGAGCAAAATGATATATATATATATATATATATA